ACAGAGGGCGCAGTCCGCACAGGCAAGAGAAAATACGGTAAGACACGATTAGTTTCTCACATGGTATCTTTACTCATCCGCAAAGATGCCGATTGCTCTCGCTCGCCCGTCTCAGATGCGGTACATGCTCATAAGTTGATAAAGTTCACAGTGAACGTTGTCTCGGTTTATGACGGAGCAAACGCTATTCGAGAATAGATATATATTCCATATTATGAGATTATCTCAGGTGAGCATCTGTGTTTTCTCGGTCCCGATGACTCTCCATCTCTCCTTCATTGGCTGCTTGCTCTTCGCGGTCCCCGGCGCGGCTAAACTAAGACGCCTTCAAGTCTCTACCACTGACGCTCCCACCTACAGTCCTGGAGCTCGACAGCGTTGTGATCTTTACTGCCAAAGTAAGGTTGCTCTTTGGAGACTCACTGCTTTCTGATGTTCCTCGTCTGTAGTTCAGAACGGGTCGCCGAGCTATTGCAAGTATTGGTTATCTCCTCCAGTCTGCCAGGCGGGGGATCAGCCTTGCTCGCCTGACGTGTGTGATGGTAGGACCATTGCTGCATTCTACTGTCCTGAATGTTTCTCTCAGTTCCACCTGAAGCTACTGTACCGTCCTTGTCCACACCACCGTCGACTGACTCGGAAACCTGCGACCGTTATTGTCAAAGCTTGAATGGCCCTGCGAGTTACTGTAAATGGTGGCAGTCGCCTGCTGTTTGTCAATTCGGTGACCAGTTCTGTGGTGATGTGACTACGTGTGATCCGACCGCTCCGACTACATCATCAACGTCCTCGATCACTTCTTCGACCGGCTTCACGACAAGCACTCCGATCGTTCCTACTACCACGCCTGTGGCTCCTACTACAACACCGATCGTTCCTACTACAACGCCTGTGGCTCCTACTACAACACCGATCGTTCCTACTACAACGCCTGTGGCTCCTACTACAACACCGATCGTTCCTACTACAACGCCTGTGGCTCCTACTACAACACCGATCGTTCCTACTACCACGCCTGTGGCTCCTACTACAACACCGATCGTTCCTACTACCACGCCTGTGGCTCCTACTACAACACCGATCGTTCCTACTACCACGCCTGTGGCTCCTACTACAACACCGATCGTTCCTACTACAACACCGATCGTTCCTACTACCACGCCGATCGTTCCTACTACAACGCGTGTAGCTCCTACTACCACGCCTGTGGCTCCTACTACCACGCCTGTGGCTCCTACCACAACACCGATCGTTCCTACTACCACGCCGATCGTTCCTACTACTACGCCTGTGGCTCCTACTACCACGCCTGTGGCTCCTACCACAACGTCTGCGGCTCCTACTACTACGCCTGTGGCTCCTACTACTACACCGATTGTTCCCACTAGTACGCCTGTGGCTCCTACTACAACACCGATCGTTCCTACTACCACGCCTGTGGCTCCTACTACTACACCGATTGTTCCCACTAGTACGCCTGTGGCTCCTACTACCACGCCTGTGGCTCCTACTACTACGCCTGTGGCTCCTACTACTACGCCTGTGGCTCCAACTACTACACCGATCGTTCCTACTACAACGCCTGTGGCTCCTACTACAACGCCTGTGGCTCCTACTACAACACCGATCGTTCCTACTACCACGCCGATCGTTCCTACTACCACGCCGATCGTTTCTACTACAACGCCTGTGTCTCCTACTACAACACCGATCGTTTCTACTACCACCCCTGTGGCTCCTACCACTACGCCTGTGGCTCCTACTACTACACCGATTGTTCCTACTACCACGCCTGTGGCTCCTACTACAACACCGATCGTTCCTACTACAACGGCTGTGGCTCCTACTACAACACCGATCGTTCCTACTACAACACCGATCGTTCCTACTACAACGCCAGTGGCTCCTACTACCACGCCTGTGGCTCCTACTACCACGCCTGTGGCTCCAACTACCACGCCGATCGTTCCAACGGCCACGCCTGTGGCTCTGACGACGACGATTCCTACTACAACACTCTCGGGGCCCATCTTTGGGAGCGATGGAGATGTTACCACTCAAGCTGGCGAGTGCGACTCTTACTGTTTCTTACTCAACGGTGTGGGGAGCTACTGCAAGTCTTGGCTCAGTCCTCCCGTATGCCAACTTGGTAACCAACCTTGCACTGCAGCCGATTGCGCTGTATCAACTACATCGATATCGAATCCGGCAACAACGACTGAGGGCATCCTGTTCGGAGGAGATGCCGATTCTACCACTGTTGAGGAAACGACCACTGCCACCGCGGGGGTATCGACCACATCTGATGCTGGTCAAAGTATTACCTCGACAAGTGGCCCTCAGACTTCGACGATTGCCATGACAACGGGTGCTAGTGTTGCGTCATCAACTGGCGAAGTGCCTACCATCTGGTCTCCGATGACAGGACCGGATGCTGTTTGTGATCGCAACTGTATTTTGATCAATGATGATTCATCCTCGTATTGCAAGTACTGGTTGTCTCCTCCTGTCTGCCAAGGAGGGAACCAGTTATGTGATTGCGAGGCTGCTAGACTTCGTTAATTTGGCGAGTCTAAATTTGAGGTGTGTGGACCGCCTCATTCGTATATCTTTAGGTGGGTACCTCATCTTCATTCACGATTCATCATAGTAATACTGAGTAGTTCTCGCCCATGGTTTGCTTAGCGACACGTATTCACATGCATCCTCTCAAAAGGCAGGCTCCTTGTGTTCATTACCAGGGAAAGTCGCTCCACGGCGTTCGAGTGCGCCTCTTAGCCGAGACTAGACAATTGATAGAATTGAAGAAACAATTGGCTGTTGCAGGAGTAATGGAGGAAACGTCGATGCTTGGAGTCTCCAAGTTGGGGAATTCGGGAGTTTACGTTCGAATGAGACGAGCCTTTTCTGACGATTTTTGAAGAGGGTGTGAAAACAGACGTAAATATGTGGAGAAAGAATTGATCACCACGACAAGACATTGGAGGCTCAAGACGAGGATCGTGTGATGGGTCATTGGGTGTAGAAGTGGAATACACAGGACTCTGAATCCTGTACAATCGGTATAATTGATTTTCTTGCTATAATTGTTTTGGGGATTCGCAGCCGGAAGATTTTACTGATTAGCCCGCCCGGCACGGCAAGATATTTGTGGAGTGTATCTTGGTTGGGTTGTCCGTGAAAACAGTGAATCCTGGAAATGGTGAACCGGAATAAATTTCCCGCGAACCCTGATAACGGTGAAGGAGCTAGCGCGCGCCACGAGTGCGCGCCAACAGAAGTTCATGCCGAGATCCCCTTACGTCATATGTGTTGTAATCGACCGGTTGGTGTAGTGGTTAGGCGTTGTAGTTAGTTACCGACTGTTCAAGGTACAAATCGTGTGATCATCATGGTAATTTTGTAATTGAGACGCGGTTCAACCAGACCAGCTCAAACCAGTAAGCTTGCCTAACTCAGCTGGCACGCCTCCTTAGCAGTTACTCCGGGTCCACGAGCTGTAATACAATGCTATCCAGGAGCTCAGTATAGAGGTTGTATTTGTTCATGCTCAAGAGGAACAGGCATTAGGATCTGTTTCCTCATGCATTGCTGTTTATCCTTGTGGTACTGCCAGAATTGTTCATCAACAAGGTTCCCATACTTCTTCTATAGTCACTACTTTGGACTCAAACGCTTTGCTTATGGCAATCGCGTATCTCAGCTAGTTGGTTACGGATTGAGAACTCACTCCCTCGTTTTGGAAGATCCATTATGGAACAGTGGAACAGAAGACAAAATATTTGATCAAAACACGGATTTCCGAATCCCGAAGCCCGAAGAAAGAGCACCATTCAGTACTTCGGAAGTGCTACTTCCTATCCACAACCATGGCATAGTGAAACTCGAAAGCTATTACTAGACCGTTCGTGTTGCTCCTACTTTTGAAAAGTCGCTTCAAGACACGCAACGAAGAACCAGGCCTGAAAAAGATGACAATCTGTATAATATGTGCTCCGACCCTCAGTGGTCCGTAGCGCTGCGGTTGCTCGAGCAAGCTGACTACTCAAACATTAAATCGGAGACGGATCATTGAAAGTTGAATTGGTTCGGGAAGGAGTGGTAGAAAAATTACTGATATTAAGGATACTGGTGCGGGCGAGTTTGTTGTTCACTATCGTCAGGCTTTCACCCGCTTTAGTGGGAGAAAAAGTCCCTTCAACGGATTCACTCGCCCTTCACCTTTCCCAGGATTCACTGTTTCCAGGCGGGACCTCTTGGTTGCTAGATGCTGTCAGTGTCGTGAGTTATGGACTGACATCAACGCTGTGAGAACTCACCTTATTTCTTCAGCTTGATTCACCTTACCTTCATTATGGTACTCCCATGCGTCGCCTTTATCTTATCCATATGTTTGTTTTCTCATGGCTCTAGTCGTATGAGGAGGGCTCAAAGCGCATCCTCTTCTACCCCGCCATCCACAACGCCCGAGAATCGCCAAGTATGCGATTATTACTGTCAGAGTGAGGCAGCTTCTGTCTTGAGAAGTTTGGATCCACTTGGTTTCTCAAGATCTCAACGGCCCATCGAGCTATTGCAAGTACTGGCAGTCTCCTCCTGTTTGCCAAGTAGGGAACCAACCGTGCTCGGTTGACGTTTGCGAAGGTGAACTCCATGTGCGCAGTACTGTCGTGTATTTTATATCTTCCTCAGTTCCCGATGGTACGAGTACTGCCTTCGGTTCAACGACTACTACGATAGTTTCAACAACCCCTACTGCAACCTCAATGGCTCCGACTAGTGCAATAGCATCTACAACTCCTCCCATCCCCTCAACAACTCCTATGGGCCCTTCAACTACTCAGACGCCTGTGACTACTACAACGTCGCCGCCTGTTACGACCGCAACATCAGTGGCTTCAACCAGTTTCCCACCGAGTTCTACGACCCTGCGGGTTATTCCCAGAGCAACTCCGGTGGTTCCCAGAGGACCGCCTGTGAATCCCGGCCCACCGTCGCCAATTCCTAAGGCAACGCCGGTGATTCCTAGCGTCAGACCTGATATTCCGGCAGCGCCACCTGTTAACCCTCCTGGACTGCGTTGATTGTGTAATGCTTGCTCAGGATGACCATACGTATATCCGGAAATGGACCTCCATCTCTTTTTCATCTACTCTTTGAGCGTCTTTCTAATTGACTAGATCGTAAATCGATCCGGACATCCATATGCATCGATTCCGCATGATACTTTGTTGAGTGTGGAGTCATCTAGGATAAAAGAGCGTAAAAAGTCGTTGCTCCGCGTATATAAAGTGAGCTCTCGGTAATTGAGCGTCAAAATTCTCACGCCTGGTGAATCCTTGCTGATTTTCGTGGCACATTGGTAAAACAGCAAACGCCATGCGTTGCGACCTCTGTGAATCCTGTCGTAATATGGTGCGGGATATAACACCCACATTTCAAATAATTCCTTGAGCTCTCACGCATGAGATTGAATAGAGCTTTAGATGCGCTCATTAACCACATTTGGTCGATCTCACGAAGTAAAATCGATTTTTATAGAGGAGTAGATTACGGAAGTTATTGAGGGAATCTGATCGACGGTTCGACAATCACCGTCTTGAAGTATCGCGGACAATATACTCGTGACAAATCCGTAACCGATATCCGATGAGATTGCTGCGGTTCACACGCTTATAGCAATATGCTAGAATCCCAACAGTAAAATCAATCAGAATATCCTTAAAACCAGTGTATGTATGTATTTGTGAGTACGAGACTGGTTCATAATTACCAGATATCTCGACCACCTAGGTGACTACTAAGGCGCCTGGGATAGTTGACCGAAGTGTCTTAGAGATGAGCTACGAGAAGTTCGTAGAATTCGCCTACAAGCGCTTTATAGGAGGCCTTTGGGCTCTGTGATCGTGATCGATTCGTGGCACTTCCGCAGTCGAAAGAGTGCCACATTTAGCTCGCCCATAACGGGAAGATATGCACAGAGCGTATCTTGACAGCGAAAGTCGATTATCGGATACATGTGGACTCCTTGTCTTTCCATATATGAAGGTCGATCTATCGTAGCCTGGATTCTTGCAGCTTTCCAAACTCATGTTCCACATCATGGTTCTTCGCGTCGCTGCAGTCTTGTTCGTGACTAGTATTTCGCAGGGCTCCAGTGACCTGAGGAGACTACAGACCTTACCCTCCAGTACCCCGCCTATTTCCAGCACTACCCCTGAAAATCGCCAAGTATGCGACTACTACTGCCAATGTGAGGCCACTTTGGTTCCGATCGATTGATTTGTACATCGCTGTTCTGTCAGATCTCAATGGTCCTTCGAGCTACTGCAAATACTGGCAATCTCCTCGTGTCTGCCAAGGTGGAGATCAGCCGTGCTCCATCGATGTTTGTGATGGTAGGGCCGATCTGTGAGCTGGTATGGAATGCATTGTTTCAGTTCCCGATGGTGCTACTATTGCCCCTATTCCAACGCCTTCTCCTGTTGATGCCGAAGCATGTGATCAATACTGTATGCTTCTCAATGGTCCATCAAGTTATTGTAAGTATTGGCAGTCCCCTTCGGTCTGCCTGTACGGCGACCAGCCTTGTGATGACGTGAGCACCTGTCAAGCCCCTATCGTCGGTTTTACGACCTTCGACTTGGACGGAGATCAGCACGTCGGTCCTTCAGCTGCATGCGATCTGTACTGCCAAGGGTTGAACGATGACGAGAGCTACTGCAAACACTGGCAGAATCCTGCAGTTTGTCATTCTGGCGACCAACCATGTGGACCAACTGTATGCGATCCCATTGATACGACCGCAGTCGTCTCGACCACTGCAGTGTCCACTGCCCCGGCCTCATCCAGCCCGACGACGACTCTTGTCACGACACTGGCTCCGACTACTACAACTGCTGTTGTCACTACTACTTCCGCTGGTACCTCCGTATCTCCGACGACTGTTTCTGCCATCTTTGGTGGGGACTCGGATCCAACGACTCCCGAGTCAAGCGAGTGTGACCTCTACTGCAGGTCTCTGAACGGAGACGATAGTTATTGCAAGTCCTGGCTGAGTCCTCCTGTATGCCATAAGGGTGATCAGCGATGTGATCCATCTACCTGCATTGTGGAGACCCCCGAGCCAATCTTTGGTGGAGATGCGGAGACAACTACCGCTACCTCTACAACGGATGACAATGCCGCGTGCGATCATTATTGTAAACTTCTCAATGGTGAGGCTAGCTATTGCAAGCAATGGCAAACTCCTGCCGTTTGCCTCTATGGCGATCAGCCCTGTGATGACGCCAACATATGTAGATCACCAATAGAAGGCATCACCACTGCCGACTTGGATGGTGACAATCATACCGGTGAATCTTCCGCCTGTGACGCATATTGCAAGGGCCTGAACGGTGTCACAAGTTACTGTAAGTACTGGCAGCATCCTGCCGTTTGTCTTGATGGTGATCAGCCTTGCGGACCCTCTGTTTGTGATCCCTCATCGACGACTTCCAGCCTCACTTCAGAGCCAGTCTCTACTACGACTTCAACCGAAGCGACTACTCCCACGACTACAACAGTTCTGACTTCAGCCACGACCACAGTCGCTACCACAGTTAGCTCTACTACGGGCAGCGACTCTGCCACCATTTCTACAACTCCAGGGGACCCTCTGTTTGGTGGGGACGCTGATACATCAACATCTCCGGCGGTCGATGAAGGTTACGTTTGTGATCGCTATTGCCAGCTGCTGAATGGTCCGGAGAGTTACTGCAAGTTCTGGCAGTCTCCTGCCGTTTGTCAATATGGAGACCAGCCATGTGGTGATGTTACAACATGCTCGTCGCCAATCATTGGCACTTCAACTTATGACTTGGTTGGTGATCAACACGACGGTTCTTCATCGGCCTGCGACTCATACTGCCAAGGGCTGAACGACGACTCGAGCTATTGCAAATACTGGCAGAATCCCGCAGTTTGTCTTGGCGGTGACCAACCTTGTGGTCCGTCAATATGCGATCCTACAACTTCGACTGCCTCGGCCTCCACTTCATCGACTCCGCCTTCATCCGTATCTTCTACTACGCCGGGGACTTCTCAATCGGTGGCCACCACGTCACTCGTCTTCGGAGGTGACTCAGATTCGAGCACCGAGGTCTCTAATGGGTGCGACACCTACTGTAAGGCTCTGAACGATGAGTCCAGTTACTGCAAGTACTGGTTGGATCCTCCAGTCTGCCAAAGTGGAGATCAGGTGTGTGACCCCTCTGTTTGCTGAACATAGCAGAACAGCGACGTATATTCCTTCCCGTCTCCGATAGCATTCCATTCAACGTATTCGATATATCCTCTCAGCATGTTGCTGATTTTTTGCACGTATAAATGCTACCGTATTACACTATAAAAACTCTACTCCATTAGATGTATCCCCACAGATCATTTTGTATATCTCATCTCAGTGTTCGTGATTCATGGAATCATTGACCAGAACCACCATGTTGAGTTTGAGATTCTGAAACGACCTGAGACGCCAGGAGAATACTAGTTTACCGAAAAAGTTCTCGTGATTGTCGATAGACGTTGAGCATCATTAAACTCTAGCTACTAGAGCACATGCCAAGAGTGTGTTAGTGACCGATTACTATACATTCTTTTCAGCGTTGCAGTCAGTAATGATTATAGAATATTGAGTAGTATCATCGTTGTCACGCGTATGGGTAATGAACTATCATCTATCACCTAGATATCGACATCAACCCAACCATGATGGTGTGAGGCTGGCTTACACAGGGAATATGTTTACAAACGCGCTCAGACTATTTGGTTCGCTGTCGACTGACCCAAGCTTATCATCGACACTGTTTCGTCGGCTTGTCAGAACATCAATATGAATTCGAGTGTCCAGCGGCAGACGGTTTTCTCTTGGGGAGTCTGCTTCGTGATATTTCAGGCGCGTGACAGGGCTGTCACTGTATGGATGTCGGTTCGACGAGAGAGCGGAAAGTGTACAAGAGTTTGCCAAGATATCCAAAATTTGGATTCCAAATGGAGTTTCTAGGGTGGAATGTGGATATCTCAATCAGGTCACATGAACATTCCGCACAGATCCCTGCTAATAGTGAATGAGAATGCTAAGATGATCAGTAAGTGAAATTTGTGACATCCTATCAGGAGTAGCCTCCTCATGATTATATTAAGTATCAACCACTGATGAGGTGTGAGTGGTGAACACACAGGTTGATATCTCTCATGGAATCTCCACTCATCTGCAAGGATTCGCGATACTCTCGCTCGCCTTCGGTTACGATAGCCAACTGAGCCGTCCATGTATCAATCCAGTCCATCTTTGGCCTGCAGGAGGTCTCAGAACCATCTGGGCCATGGTTTCTGTCAGATTGTCTTCCGATCTATTCATGATTCATCGCCTATCCCTAGCCGTCAGCACGCTCCTCTTGGCCACTGGTGACGCAGGTCTCAGAAGACTCCAGTTTTCGACCGGTGTAATACAATCCGGCAATCGCAACTTTTTGCTAATATTGCGGATTTGCCGAATGCTATAATTTCTGACAGTCTCACTTTTTTGCTCTTTTGTATGTGCTGCTTCCTCAGTTACAAAGTAGCAACCACATTTACAACCGGGCAATTTCTGGTATAGGTTTTAGCAACCCAATGTTGAAAGTAGCAAATCCAAAAGTGTTTTCCAGCAAGTCGCTCTTTTTTGCTCTTTTTTTGCTGCATTGTATATTTCCTCGGAATGTTTTACACGCTGGCACTTTTGCCCAAGTGGGCTTCGCCCGCACGTTTTCGTTATTCTGGCAAGTTGTACTCATTTGCTGTTTGATATGTTTTGCGTTGTAATTACATGGTCTGGCATATTTCAAGGTTTGCCCTTGTGTGATGTTCCTGCATGAAATATACAAATCGGCAGTTGCCGGTATGTGACAACGCTGCGCTACTTTTATGTTTCGGCTATTTGCTCTCTTGTAACTTACGCCCTGCGAGAATATATACTAGCGTTTTGCTCACTCGCTCAAACTCCGTCTCTGTTAGCGTTATTAGCAAACTTGTTATTTTGCATTATTCGTACGAGCAATATACAATCGAGCAAACATAGTTATGGGATAGCGTTTCTCGTTCGATTACGGTATTACGCCTTATATCTTACGCTCCAGAACATGCTCATGCCCTGTGCACTTACTAAGTATCTTATCTATCAAAGGTGTCACACTTTGTGTCTCACTTAAAGCGAGTCACTTAGTATCGGGTCCAAGCGTGATAGCACTCTAGTGAGATATATCATTCACTCCCAAGTCAGCGCGAGTTATGATCAATGCTGAATACCAAAAACATGATTACTCTTGCACGTCGCGATTAAATAAGATGAGATAACAGTTAAATTGAGTCCCATCTACGAGTATCCTCTCTCTTGTTGTATCGTATCAGTTGTGTCTCATGGTTTGGTACGATTGTACGTATTGACGACTCAACAATACCCACAAGTTGAACCCTTGAGTAGGCATTAGGTAAGTATTACGGGCAATTTTGACATTGTGGCACTTATCGGAGTGCCTCTAAGGAGCTATTATTATGGACTGTGCAGAGATGTAGAAGAATTGTACAGGGGAAACGCAACATGGACAGAATTACTAGATATGAACTCTACAGCCCTTCGCACACAATATTCACTCCCGGGCTCCACTAGAGTTACTATGAGGGGTTGCATAAGAAGCATATTGAGGAACGTGCAAATTTTTCTCTACCAATCACCGAGACAGTTACTTATAGCAACTACAACAGCTGAGCACCACTGAGGTGCCTACCTTACTGCGAGTGCGTACATGGTCGCTAGTCTCCAGTGATGGGAGAAACTTCTTCGATTCCTCACGCTCGTCCTCTTTCGACCGCTTGTGCTGCAATTCTTTTGCCGCGTGGCTCTCGTACTCCTCCACCAATAAAATAACATTGGTGTTAGACGAGTACTTTCGCACTATCTCCTCACATCTGGTACCTCGGGAGAACTTGTTCAGCGCCGGGTAGATGCGGAGTGCTAACTTAGCACTGCTAAGCCAGCCTGCCTCTTTCCTCGATAATTTCGATGTTCGCGAGGGGCATCTTTCTGCAATGACCAGTATTTGCTCAGACCACCGAAGAGCATAATAGGCCACGTAAGGATCAGGATGCGTGTATGAAAGTCACGACATCTCGCATGGGCACCACTGGGGTGCCTGCAATACAGCACTACACTGCAGATGAGTGATCCACGTTGATCCAAATGAGTGATCTCGGATCACTCAGTACGAGTGATTCCGCCCAATACGAACTACCACGTAAACACAAATCCTCTCCCTCGTTGTTCTGTGACCATGTGCGAACTGCAATGATGTGGAAAATATGAAAATCCAACGAACCCTTAACGAACCTAAGTCTTTACTAACGAGTCGTTAGTAACGACCTACTACCACCTACAATAGTCCATCCATCATTCTCCCAGTGCTGCAACTATACTTATCTATATCGACAGAACCAAAGAACTTTGCAAAATAGCCACCACTCAGAGACTTCGAAACTATAATGCAATGCTCAACACAATCACCAATGACCCACCATTGGTGGGCCACCAAGGTTAGAATCTCGCGTGCGAAATTTCAATTTCTTCTTCCGATTGTAGAACAGCAAAAATTTGCTCCATTGCGGGGTTGTCCATTCGTAAAGCGGCAAATTGCTACTCTGAAAAGTAGCAATTTGCTCAATAGTAGAAGGAGCAATTTATCGGGTTGCCCCTTCTTTGAGCAAAATTGCTCAATTTTGTCACATAGTAGCACTTCACATAGCGGCAGCTTTTATATATTCTAGCAATTTTCTGAAATATAAACAAGCAAACGATATTCATTCGAGCAGTTTCTGTTATACAAAATGGCAAATTTGCGTTTTTGTGAAGCGAATTTTGCTACTTTGCTCTTCTGTATATCAGCCATAGCATTTTTACACACTAGCACAACAGCAAAAGCCGCAGGAAATATACATTCCAGCTAATTAGCACTTTTTTGCTATTTGCTCCTTTGCTATTTTGTAACTGAGCCGTTTTCGACTACAACCTCTTCACCGACTACTGACCTGGATGACCGTGAGCGTTGTAACCTCTATTGCAAAAGTGAGGTTGAAGTCCGTCTATTACGGCTCTCAACTTGAGATCTCCGGTTCTCCATTTCAGTTGAAAACGGGGCCGCAAGCTACTGCAAACATTGGCTGACCCACCCAGTGTGCATGACAGGGAATCAACCTTGCTCGGCAGATGTTTGTGATGGTAACGTGCGAAATGTGGAGTCTTGTGGTCCCATTATGATATGTAGCTAACCGTTCCTCCTCAGTTCGACCTGGTGCTACGATTCCACCTCGACCTACGCCCCCCAAGGAAACTGCCGATGCCTGTGATCGGTACTGTCAAGATCTCAATAATCCCGCAAGTTATTGCAAGTGGTGGCGGACTCCACCAGTATGCCACTTGGGTAATCAGTTCTGTGGCAGTCTAGCTGTATGCGAACCTACGACTACAACTACGACTACAACTACGACTACGACTACGACTACGACTACGACTACAACTACAACTACAACTACAACTACAACTACAACTACAACTACGACTACGACTACGATAACAAGTACGACAACTACTTCTACAACTACTACTGCGTCTGCTCTCACAACCACTACGACTCAGCCTACATCAACCTTTGTTTTCACGCCATCTTCAGCAACTCCTACAACTACTGAAACCATGACAACTACATCCGTAATCCCTACCAGTTCGCCCACGACTTCAACACCGCGTGTTATCCCCAGTGCAACGCCAGTTATTCCCAGCGCAACGCCAGTTATCCCTAGCGCCACGCCTGACATCCCTAGTGCAACACCCAATATCCCTGCATCGCCATCTGTCAACCCTCCTGGGTTGCGGTAACCGTTTGGTAGTTCAAGTTAGTTGTTTACGGTGGCGATGCGCATATCTGAGGAAGATGCTTCACTTCTCGTTCTTCGCCAACCTAAGACCATTTTTTTGCATGTCAGATTCGTAAACCGATTCAAACCCGTAGTCTTTCATTCAATCCCAGTTGGTGTCGTGTTTGTAGTGTTATTCACAATAAATACCCTCGAGACGAACACATTCCGAAAAACGGTGACATGGATACTTCTGAGTGCACTAACTGTGTTGAGTTCATCAGTGCCATAGCGCCCCTATGGGTTGCTGATTTCCGCAAGTGTTGGATGGGACGCGGGAATTCGCATAATAAGGTGATCCGCAACGGCTCCACTACGATAAAGTTTATATGACTGAGTCATGTAGCTTTAATCGTTACCTAAGTCACTGAACGTGTCGCTACCCTTGAATGTGTTCTACTCGAGTCCTGAACGTCATTCAATACTCTGTAACATGTAGACGCTCCCGAATGGCGGTGTCGAACCCGCGACGCGTTTGAGTAGTACAGGTTTCTAGTGTTTGTCCTTGACCCGATATATGAAGCGCACATAACTTGCTACACGTTAGTAACTCGCGGCGTGTAACTATTGTTGCTTCGTCGGTTAGTATTGAGTAACGACGTTCTCTCACTGGTATGGGAACCACCTCACAGACACACTGAGATATTCTCAGTGCATTCTCAGTGAGAATGCATCTGCAGACTATAGCGAAGACAGCCGACAGGCGGTTCTGTAGACAGGCGATTCTGGAATTGATTCTGAGCATCGAAATCGATTTATTGAACGACCCCACTGGAGCGAGCTCATACGTGTCCCGCACCGGCAAGATTCCAGCGTTGAGCTCGCCTGGAACGGGAAGATACTCGGAGAACGAATCTTGACTGCGACGCAATCGTGTAATACACGCTAATGAGCTTAAATGAACTTCCTAATTTAAGCCACGAAGATTCCCGGTCCGTCGTTTTCATACTATTCCGTTTTCAGCCTGTTCCGGCCAGCACTCACCCTATGCTCGTCCGCCTTGCTATAGTCTTGCCTGTACTGGGCTTCTCACAGGACTCTGGTGATCGGAGGAGAATTCAAGGCTTAACTTCAACTACACCACCAGATTCTACCACTCCCGAGAATCGCCAAGTATGCGACTACTATTGCCAATGTAAGCCAGGCATCTAAATTTAACACCAACTCCACTCTTTTATCAGATCTCAACGGTCCTTCGAGCTACTGCAAATACTGGCAATCTCCTCGTGTCTGCCAAGGTGGAGATCAGCCGTGCTCCATCGATGTTTGTGATGGTAAAGCCGATCTGTGAGCTGATATGAAATACACTTCTTCAGTTCCCGATGGTGCTACTATTGCCCCTATTCCAACGCCTTCTCCTGTTGATGCCGAAGCATGTGATCGATACTGCATGCTTCTTAATGGTCCATCAAGTTATTGTAAGTATTGGCAGTCCCCTTCGGTCTGCCTGTACGGCGACCAGCCTTGTGATGACGTGAGCACCTGTCAAGCCCCTATCGTCGGTTTTACGACCTTCGACTTGGACGGGGATCAGCACGTCGGTCCTTCAGCTGCATGCGATCTGTACTGCCAAGGATTGAACGATGACGAGAGCTACTGCAAACACTGGCAGAATCCTGCAGTTTGTCATTCTGGCGATCAACCATGTGGACCAACTGTGTGCGATCCCACTGATACGACCGCAGTCGTCTCGACCACTGCAGTGTCCACTGCCTCGGCCTCATCCAGCCCGACGACGACTCTTGTCACGACATTGGCTCCGACTACCACAACTGCTGTTGTCACTACTACTTCCGCTGGTACCTCCTTATCTCCGACGACTGTTTCTCCCATCTTCGGTGGGGACTCAGATCCAACGACTCCCGAGTCAAGCGAGTGTGACCTCTACTGCAGGTCTCTGAATGGAGACAATAGTTATTGCAAGTCCTGGTTGAGTCCTCCTGTATGCCAAAAGGGTGATCAGCGATGTGATCCATCTACCTGCATTGTGGAGACCACCGAGCCTATCTTCGGTGGAGATGCGGAGACAACTACCGCTACCTCTACAACTGATGACAATGCGGCATGCGATCATTATTGTAAACTTCTCAATGGTGAGGCTAGCTATTGCAAACATTGGCAAACTCCTGCCGTTTGCATCTACGGCGATCAGCCCTGTGATGACGCTAACGTATGTAGATCGCCAATAGAAGGAGTCACCACTGCCGACTTGGATGGTGACAATCATACCGGTGAGTCTTCCGCCTGCGACGCATATTGCAAGGGCCTGAACGGTGTCACGAGTTATTGTAAGTACTGGCAGCATCCTGCTGTTTGTCTTGATGGTGATCAGCCTTGCGGACCTTCTGTTTGTGATCTATCAACGACGACATCCAGCCTCGCTTCAGAAGCAGTCTCTACTACGACTTCACCCGAGGAGACTACTATTCCTACGACTACAGCCGCTCCGACTTCAGCCACGACCACAGTCGCTACCGCAGTTAGCTCTACTACGGGCAGCGACTCTGCCATCACCACCACGACTGCAGGAGGCCCATTGTTTGGTGGGGACGCTGATACATCGACATCTCCGGTGGTCGATGAAGGTTACGTTTGTGATTACTATTGCCAGCTGCTGAATGGTCCGGAGAGTTACTGCAAGTTCTGGCAGTCTCCTGCCGTTTGTCAATATGGAGACCAGCCATGTGGTGATGTTACAACATGCTCGTCGCCAATCATTGGCACTTCAACTTATGACTTGGTTGGTGATCAACACGGCGGCTCTTCATCAGCCTGCGACTCATACTGCCAAGGGCTGAACGGCGACTCTAGCTATTGCAAATACTGGCAGAATCCCGCAGTTTGTCTTGGTGGTGACCAACCTTGTGGTCCGTCAATATGCGATCCTACAACTTCGACTGTCCCGGACTCCACTTCGTCGACTCCGCCTTCATCCGTATCGACCACTACGTCGGGAACTTCTCAGTCGGGGGCCACCACGTCACTCGTCTTCGGAGGCGACTCAGATTCGACCACCGAGGCCTCCAATGGGTGCGACACCTACTGTAAGGCTCTGAACGATGAATCCAGTTACTGCAAGTACTGGTTGGATCCTCCAGTCTGCCAAAGTGGAGATCAGGTGTGTGACCCTTCTGTTTGTTGAACATCAGATCGGCGACGTATATTTCTTTCCGTCTCGGATAGGATTCCATTCAACTTATTCGATATATCCTCTCAGCATGTTGCTGATTTTTTGCACGTATGAATGCTACCGTATCACTCTATAAGAACTCTACCTCAGATGTATCCCCACAGATCATTTTGTATATCTCATCTCAGAGTTCGTGATTCATAGAATCATCGACCAGGATCACCATGTTGAGTTTGAGATTCCAATACGACCTGAGGCGCGAGGAGAATAATATTTTACCGAGGGAGTTCTCGTGATCGTCGACAGACGTGGAGCATCATTGGAGTTTCACCCGTTTTACGTGAAGTGGCGTAAAACTCCGTGAAAAACGCGATATTTGCGACTTGCAATAGCCGTGAAATATGTTTTTCACTAGTGTTTTTCATATCACGGGGGAAAACTCCATTAAACTCTATCTACTAGAGCACAGGTCAGGAGTATATCAGTGACCGATTAGTGAAAATTCTTTTCAGCGTTGCAGTCAATAATGATATTCGAAACGATAGTAGTATTATCGATTTCACGCGTATGGGCAATGAGCTATCATCTGTTACCCTAAATATCGACATCGACTAAGCCATGGTGATGTGAGGTTGGCCTACACAGGGATTATGCTTACACATGCGTTTAGACTATTCGATTCACTGTGAACTGACCAAGCTGTTCATCGACACTGTTTCGCCGGCTCGTCAGAACATCAACGTGAATGTGAGGGTCCAGCGGGAGCCGATGGGCTCTTGGGGAAGTCTGCTTCGTGATATTGGTCCAGGCGCGTGACAGGGCTGTCGCTGTATGGATGCCGATTCGACGAAAGGGCGGAAAGTGTACAGGAGTTTGCCAAGATATCCAAATGGATCCTCTAGGGTGGAATGTGGATGTCTCAATCTGGTCACATAAACATTCCGCACAGATCCCTGCTAATGGTGATTGAGAATGCTCAGAAGTTCAGTAAGTGATATGTGTAACGTTCTACGTTCGGGAGTAGTCTCCTTATGATCAAATTAAGTATCAACCACTGATGAGGTGTGAGTGGTGAACATACCGGTTGATATCTTTCATGGAATCTCCACTCACCTGCAAGGATTCGCGATACTCTCGCTCGCCTCCGGTTACGATAGCCAACTACCGATCCTACCGAACTACCGGTACCAATCCTATCCATCTTCGGCATGCAGCAGGTCTCAGAACCATCGAAACCTTACATTGGTTTCTGTCAGATTGTCTTCCGATCTATTCATGATTCATCGTCTATCCCTAGCCGTCAGCACGCTCCTCTTGGCCACTGGTGACGCAGGTCTCAGAAGACTCCAGTTTTCAACTACAACCTCTTCGCCGACTACTGGCCTGGATGACCGTGAGCGTTGTAACCTCTATTGCAAAAGTGAGATTGAACTTCGTCTATTATGGCTCTCAACTTGAGATCTCCGGTTCTCCATTTCAGTTAAAAACGGGGCCTCAAGCTACTGCAAACATTGGCTGACCCACCCAGTGTGCATGACAGGGAATCAACCATGCTCGGCGGATGTTTGTGATGGTAACGTGCTAAATGTGGAGTGTTGTGGTCCCATTATGATATGTAGCTAACCGTTCCTCCTCAGTTCGACCTGGTGCTACGATTCCACCTCAACCTACGCCCCCCAAGGAGACTGCCGATGCCTGTGATCGGTACTGTCAAGATCTCAATAATCCCGCAAGTTATTGCAAGTGGTGGCGGACTCCACCAGTATGCCACTTGGGTAATCAGTTCTGTGGCAGTCTAGCTGTATGCGAACCTACGACTACAACTACAACTACGACTACGACTACGATAAGAAGTACGACAACTACTTCTATAACCACTTCTACAATTATTTCTACTACGTCTGCTCTCACAACTACTCCGACTCTGCCTACAACAACGTTAGTCTCTACGCCATCTTCGGCAACTCCTACAACTACTCAAACCGTGACAACTACATCCGTAATCCCTACCAGTTCATCCGCGACTTCAACACCGCGTGTTATCCCCAGTGCAACGCCAGTTATCCCCAGCGCAACGCCAGTTATCCCCAGCGCAACGCCAGTTATCCCCAGCGCAACGCCAGTTATCCCTAGCGCCACGCCTGACATCCCTAGTGCAACACCCAATATCCCTGCATCGCCATCTGTCAACCCTCCTGGGTTACGGTAACCGTTTGATAGTTCCTAGTTAGTTGTTTACGGTGGCGATGCGCATATCTGAGGAAGATGCTTCACCTCTCGTTCATCGCCAACCTAAGACCATTTTTTTGCATGTCAGATTCGTAAATCGATTCAAACCCGTAGTCTTACATTCAATCCCAGTTGGTGTCGTGTTTGTAGTGTTATTCACAATAAATACCTCGAGACGAACACATTCCGAAAAACGGTGACATGGATACGTCTGAGTGCACTAACTGTGTTAAGTTCATCAATGCCATAGCGCCCCTATGGGTTGCTGATTTCCGCAAGTGTTGGATGGGACGCGGGAATTCGAATAATAAGGTGATCCGCAACGTCTGCACTACGATAAAGTTTATATGACTGAGTTATGTAACTTTGATCGTTACCAAGGCCACTGAGCGTGTCGCTACTCGGATGTGTTCTACTCGAGTCCTGAACGTCAGTCAATAATCCGATACTCGTAGACGCTCTCAAATGGCGGTGCCGAGCCCGCGACGCGTTTGAGTAGTACAGGTCTCGAGTGTTTGTCCTTGACTCGATATATGAATCGCACATAACTTGCTACACGTTAGTAACTCGCGGCGTGCAACTATTATTGCTTCGTCGGTTAGTGTCGAGTAATGACCTTCTCTCACTAATATGGGAACCACCTCACAGACACACTGAGAATTCATCTGTAGACTAAAGCGAAGGCAGCCGACAGGCGGTTCTGTAGACAGGCAATCCTGGAAATGATTCTAAGTATTGAAATCGGTATATTGAACGACCCCACTGGAGCGAGCTCATACGTGTCCCGCACCGGCAAGATTCCAGCGTTGAGCTCGCCTGGAACGGGAAGATACTCGGAGAACGAATCTTGACTGCGACGCAATCGTGTGATACACGCTAATGAGCTTAAATGAACTTCCTAATTTAAGCCACGAAGATTCCCGGTCCGTCGTTTTCATACTATTCCGTTTTCAGCCTGTTCCGGCCAGCACTCACCCTATGCTCGTCCGCCTTGCTATAGTCTTGCCTGTACTGGGCTTCTCACAGGACTCTGGTGATCGGAGGAGAATTCAAGGCTTAACTTCAACTACACCACCAGATTCTACCACTCCCGAGAATCGCCAAGTATGCGACTACTATTGCCAGTGTAAGCCAGGCATCTAAATTTAACACCAACTCCACTCTTTTATCAGATCTCAACGGTCCTTCGAGCTACTGCAAATACTGGCAATCTCCTCGTGTCTGCCAAGGTGGAGATCAGCCGTGCTCCATCGATGTTTGTGATGGTAAGGCCGATCTGTGAGCTGGTATGAAATGCATTGTTCCAGTTCCCGACGGTGCTACTATTGCCCCTATTCCAACGCCTTCTCCTGTTGATGCCGAAGCATGCGATCGATACTGTATGCTTCTTAATGGTCCATCAAGTTATTGTAAGTATTGGCAGTCCCCTCCGGTCTGCCTCTACGGCGACCAGCCCTGTGGTGACGTGAGCACCTGTCAAGCCCCTATCGTCGGTTTTACGACCTTCGACTTGGACGGGGATCAGCATGTCGGTCCTTCAGCTGCATGCGATCTGTACTGCCAAGGATTGAACGATGACGAGAGCTACTGCAAACACTGGCAGAATCCTGCAGTTTGTCATTCTGGCGATCAACCATGTGGGCCAACTGTATGCGATCCAATTGACACGACCGCAGTCTTCTCGACCACTGCAGTGTCCACTGCCCCGGTCTCGTCCAGCCCGACGACGACTCTTGTCACGACGCTGGCTCCGACTACTACAACTGATGTTGTCACTACTCCTTCCGCTGGTACCTCTGTATCTCCGACGACTGTTTCTGCCATCTTTGGTGGGGACTCGGATCCAACGACTCCCGAGTCAAGCGAGTGTGACCTCTACTGCAAGTCTCTGAATGGAGACGATAGTTATTGCAAGTCCTGGCTGAGTCCTCCTGTATGCCAAAAGGGTAATCAACGATGTGATCCATCTACCTGCATTGTGGAGACCACCGAGCCTATCTTTGGTGGAGATGCGGAGACAACTCCCGTTACCTCTACGACTGATGACAGTGCGGCGTGCGATCATTATTGTAAACTTCTCAATGGTGAGGCTAGCTATTGCAAACAATGGCAAACTCCTGCCGTCTGCCTCTATGGCGATCAGCCCTGTGATGACGCTAACGTATGTAGATCGCCAATAGAAGGAATCACCACTGCCGACTTGGATGGTGACAATCATACCGGTGAGTCTTCCGCCTGCGACGCATATTGTAAGGGCCTGAACGGTGTCACAAGTTATTGCAAGTACTGGCAGCATCCTGCCGTTTGTCTTGATGGTGATCAGCCTTGCGGACCTTCTGTTTGTGATCCCTCAACGACGACTTCCAGCCTCACTTCAGAAGCAGTCTCTACTACGACTTCATCCGAGGCGACTACTCCCACGACTATAACAATTCCGACTCCAGCCACGACCACAGTCGCTACCGCAGTTAGTTCTACTACGGGCAGCGACTCTGCCATCACCACCACGACTGCAGGAGGCCCATTGTTTGGTGGGGACGCTGATACATCGACCTCTCCGGTGGTCGGTGAAGGTTACGTTTGTGATTACTATTGCCAGCTGCTGAATGGTCCGGAGAGTTACTGCAAGTTCTGGCAGTCTCCTGCCGTTTGTCAATATGGAGACCAGCCATGTGGTGATGTTACAACATGCTCCTCGCCAATCATTGGCACTTCAACTTATGACTTGGTTGGTGATCAACACGGCGGCTCTTCATCAGCCTGCGACTCGTACTGTCAAGGGCTGAACGGCGACTCTAGCTATTGCAAATACTGGCAGAATCCTGCAGTCTGTCTTGGTGGTGACCAACCTTGTGGTCCGTCAATATGCGATCCTACAACTTCGACTGCCCCGGACTCCACTTCGTCGACTCCGCCTTCATCCGTATCGTCTACAACGTCGGGGACTTCTCAGTCGGTGGCCACCACGTCACTCGTCTTCGGAGGCGACTCAGATTCGACCATCGAGGCCTCCAATGGGTGCGACACCTACTGTAAGGCTCTGAACGATGAATCCAGTTACTGCAAGTACTGGTTGGATCCTCCGGTCTGCCAAAGTGGAGATCAGGTGTGTGATCCCTCTGTTTGTTGAACATAGCGACGTATATTTCTTTCCGTCTCGGATAGGATTCCATTCAATATGGATAGGATTCCATAGGATTCGATATATCCTCTCAGCATGTTGCTGATTTTTCGCACGTATAAATGCTACCGTATCACACTATAAAAACTCTACCTCCTTAGATGTATCTGCACAGATCATTTTGTATATCTCATCTCAGTGTTCGTGATTCATAGAATGACTGATCAGAACCACTTTTGTTGAGTTGGATATTCTGATATGATATCAGGCGCGAGGGCCGAATATGTGGAGTTACTGTCGCCAGACGTTGAGCACGACTCGATTTTATTCACACACGGAGCGCATAAATCGGTTAGACGGATCACCACCCGTCAATCAGCGACAGCCCGTCCTGGGCTATCGAGCAAGGCTACGTCGCAATAATTGTTAAGGATAATGTCAGCGCTTTCACTGTATATGCCAATTCGATGAAATGCGGAAAGCGTATAAGAATTTGCCCAGATGCCCAGTTGGAGTCTGTATGTTTAAATGTGGACATCACGATCAGATAACCTCCTTATGAAAAAATTCATAACAACGAGAATATTGTTAGCTCGTTCAAATGGACACACTGAGTGAAGCGCAGTGAAGCAAACGGACAAGTACCTATGAACTTATCTTCCCGAATGAAAAACATTCCGAGATGCCCCGCGCACGAATCTTGAACTCCCCATCACGTGCGATGGATTTTCAATGTCTGCGTTTCGAGCAACCATCTCCAATTGATCCATGTATGCGCAAACTCAACTCCGATTTCCAAATAATATTTCGATATCAGACTTGGGCACACAACAACAGTGGTCAAGTATGGTAGGCAAAGGTTATTCTGGTTAACCAGAAAAACAACCAAGTCAATCATCACCATCCTCGGACGCGGCAGCTTCCTCAGCCTCTTCTGCATCATCTTTCGACTCCTCTTCGGGATTCTCGGGAACCACCCAGTCTGTCTCTGTCCGACTATTGGAGCCTAAAGAATGAGAAGACTCGTTTCTAGAACCCCATCCGCGTAGAAGACGACTCACCAGTCGGGCACTTCTGAGTCTTCCCAGAATTACCCTCTGCTCCGCAACAAAAGCCTTCCTTAACACAGCTCTTCATCAGAGCGCATGGACATAGCATCACAGTGACTGGAGTCTGACTACCGCTTTCATTGCGGATGGTGATGACTCTCTCGTTCATAGGCAAGACCGGAGGAGACGCTCCGTTATAATCGGGTGCATCAATAGTGACCACGGGAACTGCATCAACCCCTTTGGGAGGCGCTTCACGGCAAAACTTGAGATAAAGGTCCATGCGGTAGTCGCCTCTCTTCACAATCTCGGTGGTTGGACGCTCACTCACAAGCGACACCAAGTCAGCCCACGACTCTTCAATAAGTGGACAATTATCTCCGTCATCATCAACATAGAACACGTTGAAGTCTCGGTGGACCAGCTCAGGCCAAGCTGTCCTAGCCAGACGACGGATGTCATCAACTCGAGACTTCTCCTTGGTAGCTTCCATACGAGTCCTGAAGACCTCCTTCTGGAAATGGAGCTTCACGGCCAGTTGAGCCTTCTCAGGAACCACATCTGTTTTGTTGCAGTAGGCGGGGTTCGAGAATACACTTGCAGTCTGTTGCATCTTGAGGGTCAAATAGAAGCTAACCCAACTGCAACCACGAACGCCGTCCAATGAGAAGCCGTCAACTGAACTCAACCGCAAAAGCTCAGCCGAATCGGTAATTACGCCAACACTATGCAGCGCCAAATGACGATCAGTAAGAGCGAAACAGGGACAGTCGTAATGATCAGAAATGTGACGTACAGAATTGCCGTCAGTCTATCGTCTACAGCCGAGGTTCTTCAAAGAGCATGACACACACATGATTGAAAGGGACAAAGAAGAAACTGTTAACCATCACGATAACCATCAGTAAAACATAAAGGAATCCTCTCTAACGACTTTCTGGATACAGCGGCACAAGCAAAGGTAGCACAAACAGCTAGTGAACGCAGTTCGCTAGCCGCTTACCAGTCGTAGAACGGTGATCGGGTTTGCATTAGCAGCATCTCAATGAATGATGTATCTAACACCTCCCCTCAGCGTGCCTCACCATCTAGGTCTACACACGATCAATCGACAACCTAATCAATCATGTCTCATTTCTGTATGGGAATCGACCTACTCAATGTGCTACAGAATCGTAAACCGATCGCTCAGCGTACAGTGTCGTGTGTTGTTCTAAGTTCAGTGTAACCAGGGGGGCGAGGACTTTTTGTCCTCCTAGACAAATATCTCTCGCATAAATACGTGTGTTCGGGATCAAACGTGCACAAGTTATCATCGTGATAACACAATAAGGTGAGGACTAGTAAGCTAAGGGAAGTTCCATGGAAGACCTTCATCGTCAATAAGCACCTTTTGTCGAAGTCCAGTAGAGTTGCCCGACTCGACTAATTATTTCATGCCCGACTCAAGTTCACTTGTCTTCCCAAGGTCTCACAACAGTGTTATGTAGCGACTCCGACTTCGAACACAACCTGAGTCTTCTGGGATGAAGATAATTAGGCCCAACAGGGTGCTGCAACCAACCACGACAATCAATTAGAGGGAAACAACAGCAGACGAGGAGGGGAAAAAATAGTCGTTGAAAAACTATTTGTCACTATCACTGCCATTCATTCGAGCTCGGGCACCAAATAAGGTTACCCGCTGTAGAGAAAGAAAGTAATATAGTGTGATAATAACGAGAAAGGCAAAACGTCCACTTATAATAGTCATCACCACAACACGAATGGGTCTTCGTCCGGAGGAACAATGGGAGCAAGTTCTGCCGAGTCGGGATAGTCCTCGAAATTGGAGGTGTCCGTGTCCGACTTCACGATCGGCTTGTAAGGCGCCTCGATCTCCTTCCTGTATAGGGCCTCCCACGAGACACCTATGGACAAGCACGACCATCCAGACTCCAGAATCAATGTCTAATATTGATTCACACACGAAGGAAAATGTCGATTCGAGCTGCGCACCAGTTGTTGCAACTGAGTTGTGGTTATGATTGAGAGATTGTAGACTCAGCTACACTCTAAGCCGATTAAGAATGATCTTTGTGTTAGGCTGTCTACATAGTTGGCCCACAGCGAAAGGAGACTTCATTTCCTGGCCAGATGTGGTAGGCCTCGGAACCACGAGTGCCACACAGAAGGAGCAACTTCCGCGAGAGGACTCACTTGAGAACCACCTGCACTTCTTGATATCATCCACGCCACCTCTAAGTGTCCCATACCGTTTCGCTGCGAAATAACTCACGAATCAACATACTAGTCCTGTCCTACCCAAATCAGCAGTGAGGAGTTTCTTGACCAGAGACTTGGCGTGTTTGTCGAAGGAACGCGGAAAGATTATTTTACCCATCAGGATTTTCTGATAGATACCTATACAGGGGGATCAGGTCGATGCATAAATATAACATGATCTTATTATGTAACAATATTCATATAAACAATATGAAAGATATATAGATAAAACTTCAGAAAGATATCTATGAATCTATGATGACGATAATTTATTGATAAGCGTGTAATGAATGACAAATTCCTCAATGCAAAATGAATAGCACATGATAAAATCTGACAACCTGCATTAATAGCAATATATACATCAGAATACTATATGTATTGATAACAACTGGATGAAAACGAACGAACACTAACCCATTGGGTCCTCATCAACAAAAGGTGGATAACCAACCATCATCTCATAGGTAAGGATGCCCAGGGTCCACCAGTCAACTGCTTTACCATGGCCCTACACCACTAATATCAGTCTACCTCCCTGAACCACTTCGCCCACCTTATTGAGCAGGACCTCAGGGGCGATGCACTCCGGTGTGCCACAGAGTGTATACGTTCGTTGTTCGACAATCTATGAACACCAAATGTGGACACTACCCGTTCGGTTACTCTCACTTTAGCAAAGCCAAAGTCTGTGAGCTTCAAGTAACCGTCCGAGGCGAGCAGGATGTTTTCTGGCTTTAGATCACGATAGATGATATTCTTCGAGTGAAGATATTCAAAGATGCTCACAATTTGAGCTGCGTAAAATCGGGCCGTCTCGTTTTCGAACCGCCCCACTTTACGTAAATGCGTGAAAAACTCACCACCGACGACGTACCTGAATCACTCCCTTGGTAGTTCTGAGAGCTCCAGGGAAAACGGACTACTCCAGTGCAAGATAAATATGACGACTGTCATGGAAACACCCATAAAGGTTGACGATCATAGGGTGGTGTATGGTCTTGAGGATCGCTTTTTCCGAGTTGATGTGATCAACCTGATAGGAATGGGGTTACTATGATTTTGATGAGCTCGTCTCACTTGTTTGAGCCGTACGATCGCGATCTTTTTCAGTATCTTCAACGCATAGTGTTTCCCAGTGTCCCTGTGCGTCACGAATCGGACCCTCCCAAAGGAGCCCGTCCCCAACGTCTTGCCCAATTGGAAGCTCTCTGGACCACACGTGTCCAACATAGAGCACTCAGCGGGCGATGGTCCAAGTGGCTGCATCGGGCAGCTGACCACCGTAATCGGTATATTCACCATTGCCCTTGGGCTCTCTACTCCTGCCATCAATTAAGATACAACGTCAAACTGAAATGGCGACCAGAGTTGGGAGCCTGAGTTCCACACGTGTAGTCTCGGCACGGCGAAAATTACAAGGGAAGTTTCGATTGATTCCAACATCACGATAGATGCCTAGGGATAGATGCCACGCAACCCCAATAAACCAGGATTTAGGCCAACCCGTATTGATCACGAAGATGCTCAGCTGGCTAGGAAGTTCCTAGTAGGAACCCACTGTGAGATTGAAGCTTGCACGACCTTCCATGAAGGCCACCCGAGCGCGAGCCCAGTCGACAGACTAAGGTAGACGATCTAACAGCGAGGCCAAGTATTCGATGGGTAGTTGGTCAGCACTCGAACAACTTCAACTCGACCGAATAAAAGCTTCATCGTAGACTATAGATCGACGTTTGGGGACGTTGAGATCAACTTAGGTGGAGATGGTAACACAAATATGATTGACAACGTTTCGAAAGCCTTATGTAGTCTTTGGACTTACTCTCCGAAGTGGGAAAGTATAATGGAAGCATCGGACCGTCTCGACAATAAAAGTGCAAGGCATTCCGAGATCTGCTTCTCGAAACTTTCAATCCGAGAATTCATGATTGAAGTGTGAGGCTTGAACGTATCCAACCGCGTATCTAGTTGGGGGATTCAATAAACCCCTCCTACGATAAGCGATCCAAAGATAAGACTTAACGTGTGGAAGGTTCACGCGTATGGAAGTTGAAATTCCACAGTGAAGCTCAGAAGAGGTCTATTGAACGCCTCGACTAATCCTTCGTGGCTATGTGTTTCATCATGGGGCTCTGCGAGCGCCACCAAAGATACTTATCACCAAATATAGAGCGTGCGCTCCTGCAGGTGGTAGATGGGCACATCTTTGCTCCAGTGGAATCAGCACTCAGAGTATCTGACTTCTGTGTTTGAAGCTAAAAGTTGAGATTGTCTTAAGTGAGTGTCTGGGTCTGTTTTCTGCGCTCATGTTGGTTTTTTTCTGAGCTCGGGTCAGGATTAACGAGAGTATGGAGACTCTTGAAGCTTTCACAGAGAGGATGGACCTCAATCTGCTTTGGATATTCCGAGTCACTCCCCATTACGATCGATCTACAGAGTGCGCATAGATGCTCTGTAAATGAACAGCCATTATGCGCACACAAAACATTTTATGGCGCGCGCTAATTCAATCGCGCGTTTTGATACTGACACATTTCGTTTCACAAAGTTGATGACTCTTGAGGGTTCCGTGTTACTCTTGGCCTCACAAGATATTTTGCATCTACCATCAGATGGAATACCTTAACGTGATGTCCCTTCTCCGTCTAGCCCTGATTGCCGGTTGCCTCCCATTATCGCGTGGTGATGATATTCCCAAATTTAAAGTAGGCGACTGTTACGTTATTGTGATGATCACTGTAATAGCTCATTGTGCAATTCGATTCATCAGGTTCAAACTGGCCATCGTAGCGATGGCACAAGAACGACTACCTGTGAAGTCGGAGAGCCTGGTCACGATGAAAGAGTTTACTTCCTCGCTGCGATACAAAATGAAACTCTCTCTCTCCGAGTGGCAGCATTCTGCAACTGGGGAAAAAACCTTGAATTGTTCCACGAGTGAGTCCCTCGCTCTATGCAATGTTTTTCAATTAGTTCCAATTTTTTGTAGGGGCTCCCCTAGTGCAAGTGGCTTTCTGGGCGGTAGACTTACAGAAGCTCTCACTCCCGCGGGTGGATGGACAAATGCCATCGAGGAGTGGAAAATTCCGAAAAAACTCTGCAAGGGGTTGATCAAAACGATTTACCAAAAAGAATGTGGAGGCGACCACCATCGTGGGCGTCGTCGAGTCTGTCCTAGCTGTGGTCAACGCGAGCTTTGCTTCGTGGAAAGAATCTGTGAGATTGCCTATGATATTCATACGTCTCTAGAAAGTGACAAAATGATTGAGCGAGTGACCTCCGTATAAATATTACTGTATACGATAGAAAGAACGTTGAAGGGGCCTCCTGGCTGGATTCCTGTTGTTGAGTCATGTGACGCATGTTATGATTGTGGTGTCGTGTGATGTTCTGTTGAAACTTGGCGTGTTGAGTGTTAGTCTCGAGTATTCACAACTCTAACGGGGTCCAACATAACCGAATATTCAAGGTTGCGGTCTCTTCCGAACAGACTATCATTCGCGACTGACGAATGGCAGCATTCACTAGCGTGATTTGATCCAATTCTATCGAGCTGCCTGTCGATTAAGTCAGAGAGCTGCTTCAAGCTACTGAGAAAATAAACAATCGATAACACACCAAAAGTACGTGAATCTCTTTGAGCTATATCAACGATCACTAAACTTTACATACAGCGTGTGTTAGGCTAAGGCAATCATTGACTGACTCATCTCAGACGCACGATTCTCCAGACACAAAACTGTGTATCTGCTGCGCTACCCAGCGCTCCGGAAAGCGCTCTAACGGAGGCCCTCACCGGGACGTGTGCTGCTGTGATAGAGGGATTACTCCTCTATCGCAACATCACGTGTTACTGCTTAGAAGTATGTCGCAGTTTCGATTGCCTTAATGACTGGTGTTGTGTATGTGTACGACATGTTGCGCAGTAGTGATATTATTTCTCATGGTGTATACAAATATTGCACGCACTTATATAAGGTGTGACCCCTACACTGACCCCTCGTGGCTAGTGTTACCAGTGGGCTTGACAGCTACCCGAAACATACGTGAGCGTTAGCTTAGCACCGTCCCTGATAGATAGATTGATTTGCGATTCACCTCAAGTTCTTAATGCAAACTAGCTCATTCAGCTCAACAGCTGAAGACCTCCGAAATTAAAACACTCACAGTTCGGAGGCTTATACCGACACATCCAGTAAGGTGTAATAACACGAACTAAACCTCCAGACCTCTCTAATGTTCTGGGGTCAATGAGCAAGACTAGGTCATTGGAGTTGTACGGGCAATACATATGAAACAGTTTCACGCGAGGGTAGATATGTGTGACACCCGTAGTGGAGTGTGATTGACCCAGTTTGCGTACTGATGTAGCCGCACCCCAAGAATGTGTATCATTCCTTGGGGATCCTATCCTGGTGTGTGCAAACCGTGCAGTATATTTAAAGAGTTTTCTCACAGCAGTGGAAGTGAAGGATGTTCCCTTGTAGAGGTTTTTAGTGATTCTACGGGGAGAATTTTTTAGTGATTATTCCCATTCAGGATGATGTATCACTCGGATCAACAGTGATCGAGCGGATAACAATCGTCAAGTGAATGAGATGGAAGTATCGCACCCGTTCCGATAAACTCAATACGATGGCTCTCGATGATGCCCATAATATGAGCGCGTGACCAGCGCTGGTTAGAATGCATGAGTAACACCAACAAATCAGAAACACAGAAATCCACGAATCGAAATCATCATGATGATTCTCCGGGCACAGGGAGTCGGGAATTCGTACTTGCGGGATAAGAGGCTGATTTTGCTATAGTCCAGGCCGCTGTATACAATGACAAAATATAAATATACGAGAATGAGGAACAACAACCAGCAAGCCAGCGTTACGGAAGGGAAGCATCCTCCCTAAAAATTATCTGTCCATACTCGGTGGAATCAGAGAGTTGTTGTAGCTTACGACAGCTTTCTGCAGTGTGAGCGGTTGCAATACTAGTCCAACACATCTCAAATCCAGACAAGGCGACACTCCCAAATGCAAAGATGGCGGCGTTAAGAAGTGAACATTCAAGCTCGTGATGTCTTGAGACGATCCTAGCATAGCTACGCCTTTCGGGCTGTTGTATGCTAGCGGCAAAATAGGGCTCCTAAGGCAGGAACAAGTATGACTGGTACAAGGTACACTTTTGAACCATACCGACAATTTCCTTGAGAATATACTCTCACGATTTGCCTAGTGAGCCGAAATTCAACGTTCACCATTATCAATAGTGGCCAGAGTTTCATTGCGACTGGAGTATGGTTTATTCAGGCCATCTACCTTAACGGATCGGCGCTCAACTTGGTTGTAAGCAATCTTTCCTCGCATACGAGATCTACGGTGATCTCTACAGATTGGGGAACATTCTGGAGGATCACCAACCCTTTCGAGGAGAGCTTGAAGGAGAAGCATATGAGCTTTCGCTCTGGAAGAGCGATTCCCACGGAGCACAATGCAGGAAGGAGCTCACCTCGCACTATAAAGCTTTGTATGGCTTGAAAAGTGGCCTGGAACGAACAAGTAGTCTCGTTCACTCGTAGATGTCGATGTTTTTGGACTCCTACCTGAGATCATACGTATCCTAAACTGGGTATACGGAATCACTGATCTCAGATCAGTACGGAAAATGACACAAAACAACAATAAAACCTTCAACATCACTTTCAGAATTCTCATCTCGTCTCGAAGAGCTGAACGACCGGATAGATTATCCAAAGAGATACTTCCTGTGAGAAGGCAGTAGAAAATTGTTGGAAGCAGCATGATGTTCGGTAGCTAAAAAGAACACTTCGACCGTGTTCGCGAATCGAGGATGATATAGTCTGGACTTCCCCACCAGGGAAGACTCCAATAAACCCCGGCAAGTTGTGGAGTCATTATGAATTCTAATGACTCTACATTATAATTTATAATGTGTCCGATACTTGACCTTTTCGAGGTGTGTTTCACCAAGATCAATTGCTCCGGTTGGGGCCGCTATGCCACCCCAAAATTGTATTCAAAATAGAGTGGCATAGCCACCCCACCAGAAGAAAAAATACCATTTTCTTTGGTGGGGCGGCTATGCCACTCCAAGATATGCCACCGTAAAATCCTCTTCCTCTGTTGAGGCGGCTATGTCACCCTAAGGCATGCATCAACGCGACGATTTCCACTGGTGGGGCAGCTATGCCACCCCAAAAAATGCCTCAAAAT